GACTGAGGGGAGAGGGCCCAGTCTACTCCTGCCTTGCTTGCCTCAGGGGTAGATTTCCTTCTAGACCACATGTGTCAAACACAAGGCCCGCGGGCCAAATCCGTCCCGCCAGGCCTTGCAATGTGGCCCGCACCGTGCTGTCATCACTGCACTCCGCTGCGTTTCCCTCACAATGACAGTTTATGACTGTTCAGCAAACCATTCGGCCCGCGATTTAGGCTGGATTTTAGATTTTGGCCCCTTCTCTGATTGAGTTTGACACCCCTATTCTAGACCGAGAGGACTAGAAACTCAGGGCAGCCTGTGGAGAACTTAGATCTGCTCCTTCTCTGTGAAGGGGTGCGCCTCAGAGGCCCCCCCCTCCGTTAAAGCTCCCAAAGGAGGGGCTAAGTCTGCCTTGTCGGCACAGAATCCGATCATCTCTTAAAATGAAGAAAGGAACTTCTGACACTTTCCTTCCCTCTACGAAAAAGACCTCATTGTACGATGGTATTATAACTAATTCTTCCCTCTGGGCCATGACTCTCCGTCTGCTAGCTTGCCTTGTGGCCAAACCTGAGTTAAACAGGTCAGGTGCTTTTTCTTCAGGGTCTAATGGGGCTGGGCCCGAGGTGAGTCCAGAGGAGGGAACCTGCTGCTCGTGCACAGCCAGGCACCTGCAGGAGGGGCTCCAGCGTCACCGGATCAGCTGAGCCGGTCCGGGTCCAGGGAACGCGGACCCCCCCGCCTCCCGCTTTCAGACAAGATGAGGGTAGACAGAGGAAGAGGAAAACAGGTTCACACCCGGCCCAGCATTCTCCTGGATGAGGAGTGATTAGACTGGTCATCTCCCGGGAAACCCGTCCCCCAAGTCTAAGTCCGCAGTTGAGAGCTGGTTGCTTTTAATTGGCAGACAGGGTCCGGTATTAGGCCTCCAGCATAAAGCAAAAGAGCAAAGTGAAATGTCCATTTCACTTACCACTCTGTAGAAGAATATCGGTGGAACCTCCAAAGATACCAATTTTCTGTTCAGGTCCAAGTTTGTTGTCTCTCAAAACTCAGAGGAAGAGTTCATGGACAAAGAGATGAGTGAAAGCAAAGTTTTCTTACAGAAAAGCCCCCTGCTGCAGGGCGGGGACCCAGGTGGGTAGCCACGGAAGCTTCTTTGTCTAGGGGCTAATGTGTGCCCAGCTAACTTCCCATGGGTTTGTTGGAAAAATTTGGTCCTAGCAACATCCAACATTTTAAACTCCAGGGTTCCCCCTCACTTCCCCCTCCCTGTGTGTCCAGCCTGTGACCGGGGCCCTTTGTTCTTGAGGTTTTACATAGGACAGCGTGTGGCTGGCGGACTGGTCCCGCTCACACCTGCGCGGGCGGTTCAGCTGCGTTTCCCTTTTATGTCCCCACCGCAGCAGCTGAGAGCTAGCTGTCCCTGGCTCCTAGCTGCTTCTACCTCCTCAGTCTTGCCCATGGATGAAGATGTTCCTGACTTAGGGGAATGACATTCACACTCGGTCCCTAATGTCCCTCTCGGACCCCAAAGGGGATGGGCTGGAGAAGAGGTAACTTTCCTTAAACGGGAGACAAGCCACACGGGCCCCGGACGGTGAGCTCGAACCTCGGGGGCAGCGTTTCTACCTGCCGCCTCGCTCACTGGCAGCGCACAGCTAATCAGGCCACGGCCCGGAGCGCAGGCGGTCCCCATGGGGAGGTGGTGGGAAAGGTGGAAGCTGACTGTGTAGCCAGAAGCGCACATTCATGGTGTCGGCATACAATTTCAGGTGGAGCCGGAGCCAGCATCTTCACACAGGCGAGTCAGCGTTCTCAAGCCTGGGGTTTTCCTTGGGGAACGAAGAGAATGTGGGGTACAGTGGCCATGTTCACCGAGCCTCAGCCTGGCCACAGTGTGTGCCTCGGTGAGTACTCTCCCAACCCCAAGGGTCCTATCACCCCTCAATGGGGCTGAGAGGGGGGAGAGGGGGAGGGGAGCACACAGCCATATCCACGTGTGTCAGCCGCCATCCCCTGGGCAGGAGCACCCGTCACCTAGGGGCCCCTGTGATGGCCAATGGCCGGACCCACTGTCTCTGCCACCCCAGCTCCTTTCAGCACCCCTGGATCTGGAAGGCAGCCACCCGGTCCAGCACCACCTCCACCCCCGGCCAGTGCAGCCCCTCAGCAGCCCCTCCAGGCGCGGCCCCCCCGACGCTGGAGAGGGAAGGGCCTAGGCTTGAGGCAGAGCCTTGCTGAGGACGTGGGCACCAGGTCCCTCTCAGCCTGGTTGGGCCCCGGTCACCAGGGTCTCCCATGTTGCTTCTTTTCTGGGGGCCCCCGTTTCCCCAGCAAAAGCACTGAGAGGAGCTCAGCGTTGTCATGCCCTGCAGCCCGCCCCCTGCCCTCACAGTCCTGGGTGTCCTTAGAGTCCTCTCAAACTCCGTGGGCTCCTCCCACACCACCCGGTCCCTCAGCGGGGCCCTGGCTGTGCACTGCCAAGTCTTGCTCCCTGTATTTATTTATTTATTTATTATATCTATCTTTACTGATTTCAGACAGGGAGAGGGAGAGAGAAACAACAATGCTGACAGAGAATCATTGGTTGCCTCCTGCATGCCCCAACCTGGGGATCGAGCCCGCAACTTGGGCATGTGCCCTTGACTGGAATCAAACCTGGAACCCTTCAATGTGAAGACCGACACTCTATCCAACTGAGCCAAACCAGCAGGGCGTATTGCTCTCTTAAACCAAGCATTTTGGGGATGCCTGGCAGGGCGATGCCCAGGGTTCTTGCAGGGTCGGCTCCAGGACTGTGTTACGGGCTCCAGCTGGAGCCTGGTCCCTGCCCCTGCCAGGTCCCACTGGAGCAGTGCCCCCCACGGCTCCTCCCCCACCTTCGGGCCAGAGACTCCGGACTGAAACAGCCTCGCCCAGCCTGCCACCCCAGGCCCTGCCTGTTTTGTACACAAACACCCCACTGGGGGCACTGGGAACCTGAGCTGAGCTTGTCTTTCCAACAACAGTGCCCTTTCTTTCTTAAAGGCACCAGGGCACATTCGGGTGCGAGAGGCCATGGCAGCCATTGGAGGGGTCTGGAGGAGGGGCTACAGTCATTCTCTTAACTCTGGTGTCTCCCCACTACCTGCACTGAGGGGCCCTAATATTAGCCCACTTTTGACCTCCGCCCCTTTTTCTTTTTACCTGTGTCTCTATTAAGAGAGGTTTGAGTAGTGATTTAGTGCACAGTCCTGAGCAGAACATCTAGGCTCAAATCCTGTCGTGGGCAAGTTGATGCACCCCCCTGGCCTCTGCCTCCAGCGTCCTAAAACAGGGTTATGACGGGGCTTAGGCAGGGCTGCCCGGAGCACTGGTGTCTGCAGACCCCAGACAGAGCCCGGCCCAGGCTGGCAGCATGTAGGCTGGCCACTTCTTTTTCCATTCACCTGGTGGGTTTTTAAATTTTATTTAGTAAATGTTATGGTGGCAGCAAATGCTGCGCCTACTGCATTTCCCAACTGAAACGTGGGTTCAGGGTACAGATTTCTTCTCGTGGGCTCTTATCTGACAAAGATGAAGAAGAAATTTGTGGATTAACTTTTCTTTAATAAAAATGTAGAAGTTTATTGAAAGCATATACAAACTCCATCTGGGCAGAGGTGTTCCCAAAGGGGACCCCCTGGGGAGGGGCCCCCAGAAGGGGAAAGCCTGCTCGCTCACTTTCTCTAACGGGAAAAAGAGAAAATCCTGCCTCGTGTCCCTCTGTGTCCGGTTACATATGCTGCAGCTGTTTGAACCTGACCCCTTCTAATTGGTCCTTTCATTAATCTAGGACCCCCGTGCTTTCCTCATTGGTTATTTTGTTACAAAGTATCAGTTTCAAAGGCCAAAGTAGTGCCCCTTCTTTCTCTCCCCTTATCTTGCAATAGTCCTCGATTCTCTGTGAAAATGTTTCCTTCTTTCCATTATCTATGACTTTTTGAAGAATAGTAACCTCCATCGTGGGTAAAAACTGCTGTTTAAAATTTCAAACCTGCTATTCTGGCTTCTGTAAATGTTTGCTTGCTTAAATAATAGGGGAAAATAAGACTCCTCCCATTCCAGAGAGGCCATAAACTATGCCCCAGACAGAGTTCTCAGTGCTGGCGCCAGGCCAGGCCTTGAGATATGGCCTCATGGCCCTATCCCAGCACACAGAACGTTCTCAGAAGTCTTGTTCCAAATTTGGAAAGCAGAGCTGAAAAACATATAAATAGGAAAGACTTCCACCAAATTGAACCCCAGATTTTGAGAAGCAAGAGTTCCCCTGGGCCTGTTAGCGCTAGTGAAATGAAAAGGACTCTAAGTAAATTTGGCTTATTGATTAAGGCATCTTCTGATTTACAATATAACATTTTCTTGATCCTCTGTGAAAGTATTAACATAAAAACATTCAAACCTGTAAAGAATTTTTGTGAGTTTATTTGAGCCAAATTGTTGACAATTGCCAGGAAGCAGAATGTCAACAGATTGGGATAATGCTCCAGAGAATGGCAGTTTGTTTGTTTGTTTGTTTTTTACCTATTTTTGTACATTACAACCAAAGGGGGAGACATAGGTGGGTTACAGGAAATCCGTTGCTGATAGATTTGCCCTGCTGTCGCCCCTTCTCCCCTCCCCCGCTCAGAGCACCAGGGCACGGTCCTTGGAGTCCATGGCAGTCGTGGGAGCTGGCAGACCCCGGGCAGATGCCCAGCTCTGCCCCACGGCCAGCTGTGCCTGGAACAGGCCGCCCAGCCCCTGAGCCTCCGCCTCGGCCTCCGATGGGCAATGAGGAGCCCAACGCCGGCTTCCACTGCGCCTCACGCCCCGGGTGAGACTGTGAACGCGGGGAGGAAACGTCTTCCTCTAACTGTGCTCACTGCCAGGGCCAGAGAGCTAACCTGCCAGCAGCCCCGCAGGAGGAAAGACAGCTTTAGTCACCTGTGCGAGGCAGCTCAAGAGCAGTGCGGCTCCGGGGGAGGGGGTCCGGACTGGGGGCTTCACAGTACGCGCCCTCTTAACGGGGGAGGAGGGGGAAGCGGCCTGCAAAACAGGACGCTTAGGGGAGACCAGCAGCCCCTCGGGGAGCAGACAGAGATGTTTGTTCGCGACTTCTTGTCCTGATGTCCCTTCTTGATGACTGGTGACCGGAGTCCATCCCCCTGGTTGTGAAACCACAGGGCTGAGCCTTAATGACTGAGTTCTGGGAGGCTCTGCTTTCAGGCAGATAAGAGTTCAAAACAAAACACTCCTCTTGGTGGAATATTTCATGGTAGAATATTCTGGGCCTCTTAGGAAGGCACATTGTGGGTACCTGACAGGCCGGGCACAGGGAGCCGTCCCAGGCCCTCCCCCATGCTAAGTCGTTTCTCCCAATCCCCACTCCGGTGGGAACTCCGATTCACCCGCCCCCTGCAGCCCTTCTTGGTGCTGGAAGCTAATAACTCACCCATTAAGGCACACCAGCTGGGTGCCGCCCGAATGGGTTCTTTCCTGAGGACCTTCGGCTCCCAGCCCCTCATCTGCTAACCACCATGTTGCTGTCGCTTATTCACTCAACAAACACTCCTGGGAGCTTCTGGGGCCATGGGCTGCACTCAGAGTGTCAGTGATCAGACGGACCAGCCTCCATTCTCCAGCTCTGCCCAGTTCGAGAGGCAGACAGACAGACAGACAGACAGTTCAGCTTACGCACAGGGCTGACAGGCTCTGTGATTTGCTGGAGGCAAGAAAGAGCTGGGTCCACAGAAGGAAGGAGGCAGGGAGGAAGGGAGGGAGGGAGGAAGTTGGCTGGTCTCTGTTCTCCTCTCACTCTGACATGTTGGGCCAGCCCCTACTCCCCCTCCATCTCCGCCTTTCAGAGGACCAGGCATTCCAATGGCTCCTCCTGCCCAATGACCTCTCTCCAGAGAACTCCTTCCCCTTGTAATTGAGTTTAAATATTGATGGCTGATCAAGGCAGGTTAATGGTCAACCCAGCAGAGCTCTGAAGCTCCTCCCAGCCTTGGGGGGGGGGGGGGGGTTTGCTGAGGGAGGGCACAGCCTTCCTGGGACATTGTGTTCACCTGGGGCTTGGGCGGGGGCTGTCTGGGCCTGGTGCTGCCCCTGGCAGACCCAAGAACCCTCTTGAAACGGAGTCTCGGTGCCTGTGCCCGTCTGTGCCTGGGCACGGGAGCCCCAGCATCTGTTTCCCAAAGCAAGGGCGGGGGGGGGGGGGGCAGGCCTTGGGGGGTCACTCCGCTCCGCCAGGGAAGGACACGGAACCAGGTCTCTAGTGGCTGCACTCAGAGGGAGGCCAGCCCACACTCCTCTCCTCCCTCCTGACTGCGGGCCCTCAGCTGATCCATGGGCTGCAGAGGTTGGGTCCTTGTGAGTTAGCTCCCAGGGGCCATCTTGTCTGACACCCTCCCAGCCTGCAGGATGAGGCCAGACAGCTCCGCCCCCACTTGGGAGGAGTGCCCAGTGTGGCTGCCGGGCTGGCAGTGAGGGGGACAGCGGTGGCCCCCACGCCTGCTCCCAGGAAGCCCCTCGTCTCCCCAGGGGCCGTAAACAGCTCCCCCTAGAGGAGGAAAAGGGAGTTCCCACAGCTGTGGCCCGCTCCTCGGGGCGCCGAGGCCGGACGGTGGCTCTTGGCAGGGCTACCAGGCTACCCCTCGTGTGACCCACACCCCGGGCGCCGACGGCTCGGCCCTGGCTTGCTGCCCGCAGGGCCCCGCTACCCGTGAGGCACAGCATCCTGGCACAGGCATGGCGAGCGGTGGGTGAGGCACAGGAGGGAAGCGCCTGGGCCAGGCGCCGAATGGGAGCCGGAGTGTGGACAAGGCACAGGCACCCTCTAGCCCCGGGTTCTCCAAGTGCGGCCCTACACCCGCGGCATCAGCACCTGCTGGAACTTTCTAGAAATATAAATGCTCAGTCCCCAGCTCAGACCTACTGAGTCAGAAACTCTTGAACAAGCCCTTGAGGAGGTCCGGGTGCAGTGTGAGGCCACCCACCCCACTGCCTGATGGGGCATCGTGTGGACTTCCTGCCGGGAGCATCCTGCCGGCTTACCTTGCGCAGTGGCCGTGCCTGCCTCCGGGGCTCACCGGGCAGCCCTCCGGGGACTGAGACTGCTCGGGCCCTGCTGGGGGCCTGCCCACCAGGCCCTGTGCTCTGGGTGCACCTTTGGGCCGAGAGGTCCCTCTGGGCAGAGGCCGCACAGGGGGTGGGCAGCCAGCAGCCCAGCCCCTGGGGAAGGCGGCAGAGGCAGCACGGCTCTGGGGCCTCAACCAGCTCCCTTTTGGACCCAGTGCCGTCTTGTCCCTTTTTAGCTTAAGGACCTCCAATGCTGTTTCCCACTGCCCTAGAGGGCAAATGCAAACCTCCTGCCTGCCATGGTCTGAGACGCTGTGTCAGTGTGGTCAAACTGCAGGGCAGGCACCACTTGCTGCTGGGCCAATAAGTCAGCTTGGCAGGACAGGACCTGCATCTCTCGAGGGATGTCCGACTGCCTATTTAGGCCCAATCCTAAAGGACACATGAGGCAAAGTTGTTGCCAAGCTCGTTGCTGCTGCACACACAGTGCCCTCAGAGCCCAGCTAAGCTCACCCCTACACACACACGCTCCCTTCAGAGCCCAGCCAACCTCACCCCTGCACACACACACACACTCTGCCCTCAGAGCCCAGCCAAGCTCCCGCTGCACACACACTCTGCCCTCAGAGCCCAGCCAAGCTCCCGCTGCACACACACTGCCCTCAGAGCCCAGCCAAGCTTCCGCTGCACACACACTCTGCCCTCAGAGCCCAGCCAAGCTCCCGCTGCACACGCACACTGCCTTGGCAGCCTCACAGTAGCAAGGCAGATGGCACTCCACCTCACAGGAGAGAAGACTGCGGTGGGAGGTTAGTTCGCTCTAAACCCATTGGGGCCAGGATTCCAACCTAAGCCCTGGTGCCTCGCCCTGTGCACTCCCTCTGCTCCTCTCATGGGCCCACGGTGAGCGGAGGGGACTTCTCCAGAGTACTGTGGAAGGGGATCCCTCAGGCTCGTGAGGACGGGAAAACATGGCGGGAGCCCTGGGGACAGACACTTGGGGAAAGTATGGTCTGGGAGGAGGTTCCTGAGCAGAGCCGAGGCCCACCGTCCCCAGGAGAACACACCGGGGTTAGGGAGGCCGCGGGCGGCTGGTGAGACTGCAGCCTCTGCCTTACAGGAGGACAAGGCCAGGGGTGCGGCACTGCCCATGTGCCCACCACGGGTTCAACCCAGGACCAAGCTTCCAAGACCGGAGGACTCCCCTAAGAATGGCCACCATCGGAGAGACAGCCAGCCAGACCGAGTCTTGGCAAGGAGGCGGAGAAACCGAACACTTGTGCACTGGTGGGAATGTGAACGGGGCAGCCGCTGTGGGAACAGCATCTGACCCAGCAACCCCTCCCCGCTCTGGGTTGTACACCCAAGAGAAGGCAGAGACCCCACAGAGATTTGTGGACCACGCTCACAGCAGCATCATTCACAGAAGCCAAGAGAAGAAGCAACCCAAGTGTTGGTGAGCGAATTGATGGAATGTAGTGTAGAGATAATGGAGTATCGGTCAGCCTTGGAAAAGCGAGGACAGTCTGACATGTGCATCAGCACGGGTGACCCTGAAGACGTTACGCTAAGTGAGAGGCGTCACGGAAGGACAAACGCTGTGATGCCACACTCACAGGACAGTGGGTGGCGGCTGGGGCTGCGCGAGGGAGCGTTAGGGCTGCATGGGGACAGGGCTCCGGTGGGAAGGTGAGTTCTGAGGATGGATGGTGGTGGTGGACAATGTGCATGAACTTGACATGCCTACAAATGGCCACGATGGTAAACAGCACACTGTATGTATTTAACTTTTTTTAAATTTAAATAAAAAACCTGAGGTCAGGAGATTTGAGCCAGTTTCTTACAAATGATTTTATTAGTGCTCTGACCGAGCACAGACCCCACATTCGGGCTTCTCACCGCACGATGGGACAGTGACAGGCGACACGGGCTGTATTCCAGGCACAAAAGCAACACGGCCATGTGACAACTTGTCTTGATGCCACCTCTCTCCACGACCACCACTCCCGCCCGGCCCTCCCAGGGCCTCCACCCCAAGAGACTCCCACCACCTTTAGGAAAGTCACCCCCCTGGAAAAAGTGGGCGGTTGCATCTTAAGAAAGACATCACTTTAAATACAGGACATCAGAGAACACAGCCGAGGCCACTCGGCTGAATGCTTCTCTCGCTTCAGAGATTAAAACAAAGTACTTTTTATTGTTTAAGAAAAGTCCTAATTTCTGGATTTTCTTTAAAATAATCCAGTGGGGATAGACAGTAATGAAAGTCTAGCTCAGTGGTTAGCAAACTTTTTCTGTAAACGTGTTTATCCAGCCAGGGGAGGGCGCAAAACAACCCCTTCTCCTCCGCCTGAACAAGCCCTGCGTCCCTCACCAGGGGTCTCCCCACCAGGAGCCCCAGGCCCAGGCACACCCTCTGGGTGCAGGATCTGACTCCAGCTGCTCCTCCTGGCGGCCACCAGCAGCTGCAGGAGCCTGGGCTCCTCTCTTTCTCTCTTGATCTCCTACCCTGGAAAACCTCCCCTGGGCCTCCAGCTCTGCGGGGAGGACCAAGCGAAAGGATGGCGAAAGCACCAGCACAGAACCCAGCCACAGAGCCGTCAGCTCCGCCGCTGCTCCTGCTGTGGGTGCCAGCTGCCAAGAGGGGAGGAGCGCCCAGGGCATCGCCCAGCCGAGAGTGGGACAGCAGCTCGTGGGAGTCGCCGGTGAGGCTGGCATTTGGCTCCTCCAGCTTCCCCAAGGGCAGAGCGGGAACCGGTCCAGGAGCCCCTTCAGGAGGGTGAGGGCAGATGGGAAGCAGCCCCTCTCTGTCACCAGGAGGCCGCCGCCACCAGTGGTTCCCTTTGTGGGAGGAACAGCGGGACGTGTGAGGAGGCATCATGGTTCCGGGGAAGCCAGAGGTCCATGGTCCCCAAGATGCCAGCTGGAAGTGAAGGGCGGCTGCTGCTCCGTGAACAGGGAGGTTCCAGAGCCCTCAGTCAGGAGGCACCACCCAGCGTGCCTGGCGAATGGCTAACACCAGCACAGAACCCTTCCCATCCAGGCCTCCCACCCCCGCTGGCACTTGGACTGGGATGCAAAGACAGGCCAGGCCTGCAGGACCGGCCAGCCTGCAGGCAGAGGGGGGAAAGGGCTGGGACCCACGCGGGCGAGGCCTCGCGGCCACAGCAGTGCACCCCACGCAGGGAGTCCCGAGGCCACTCAGCTGAATGCTTCTCTCGCTTCAGAGATTAAAACAAAGTGCTTTTTGTTGTTTAAGGAAAGTCCTAATTTCTGGATTTTCTTTAAAATAATCCAGTGGGGATAGACAGTAATGAAAGTCTAGCTCAGTGGTTAGCAAATTTTTTCTGTAAAGGATTAGACGGTTAATATTTTCAGCTTTAAGGGCCAAGAAACATATCAATATTATGTCAGCATAATATATGCATAGCCCATAGACAGACAATAGGGTGGTGAAGGCCCGGGCAGAGGGGGCAGGTGGGCTGAGGGGGCCAATGGGGGAATAAGGGGACATACGTAATACTTTCAACAATAAAGAACTATTAAAAAATTACGTAAAAAATTACGGTTTGGCTCAGTGGATAGAGTGTCTGCCTGCAGACTGAAGGGTCCCGGGTTCAATTCCGGTCAAGGGCATGTACCTTGGTTGCGGGCACATCCCCAGCAGGAAGTGTGCAAGAGGTGTGAGAGAGAATCATCGACGTTTCTAACTCTCTATCCCTCTCCCTTCCTCTCTGTAAAAAATCAATAAAATATATATTTTTAAAAAATTACGTAAAACAAAAAAATATTAGGTCAGCATAAAAGAAAGTGAATTCCACATTTTTTAAATGGAATTCAAATTTAATAATGGAATACTTTGTGTAATAGAAGTCTACCAATGAGAAGAATGGAATTTTTGAACGGGTGCAAGATAATATTTCACTTAATTGGGCTTGAAGAGAGCTCCGGATCCTCCAGTAGCTCACTCCTTGGGTTGGGGCGCAGCAGGCCAGCTCCTGAAGAGTGGGCGCCCGGGACCGACCTCCTGAAGGGGGGCTCCGGGTCAGTGCTGTGCTGTGGTGAGTGAGGCTGTTTCCTCCTGGATGAAGGTTTGAAAGCTTTTCCACCACAAAAGGCTTCTTGGTCCCAGGAGGCTCCCTGCAGCCCAGCCCCTGGGCTCCGAGGACGAAGGGTGAGGACAGCTCCCACAGCCCCTTCGGAGAGGGGCTCCCACGGCCCCTTTGGGGGCTCCCACAGCCCCTTCGGAGAGGGGCTCCCACGGCCCCTTTGGGGGCTCCCACGGCCCCTTCGGAGGAGGGGCTCCCACGGCCCCTTTGGGGGCTCCCACGGCCCCTTCGGAGGAGGGGCTCCCACGGCCCCGTTTGACTGCAGAACGGCAGGATGGTCAGGCAGTGACCCCTCCTGCTCACGCCGTCGGCACCCTCACTGAGCAGCCAATGCACCTCGGAGCTGCTCCTGGGGGCACCCCTCGAGGCCTCCACATGGCATAGGTGGGGGCAGGCCCAGCCCCGAGTCACTGGCAGGAGAGCCACACTCAGAGCTACTGCCTTCCTCCTCCTGGCGCCCGCCTCACCCAGGGGCCTGGGCACCCCGGGGGGGACCTCACCAGCACTTCACTGCCCCCGCCCCCGAGGGCATCGCGGCAACACCCACATCTCCAGGCCAGGGTCGTCTCAGAGGCCCCCTGCCCTCTGGGCACCGGGTAAGGGACGGGGCTGGAGGTGGTCAGAAAGGATGTAAAGCAGCAGCTGCCAGGACCTGACTCTCCACACCCAGAGCAGGAAACCGGGAGAACACGGACATGGGCAGCCGTGTGGACACAGGGCCTTGCTGTTGGGCCCTTTCACGGCACTGCCCCCTCCCCAGGAAAGCTGGACTGGGGTGTGGACTCCCCAGGTCAGGCAACTTTACCTTACCCAGCTTCAGCCAAACCAGGAATGCCACCTGGACATAAAGGGGATGGCAGCCACCAGCAGCCAAGCCGAGGGTCACTCACGCCCCACTCAGAGCAGGGAGAGCGATGCGCTGCCTGCAGAACCCTGGACTGGAGCTGCTGAGCAGCCAATCCGGTCCTGCTCGGGCTGCTTTATGTGCTGGAGGGTTCAGCCCACCTGTAAGCCACCCTGATTCTCAGAGGCACAACAGGGACCTATGCCTCCAAATTTAAGAAACCATTGCCCTCCCACCACCTGCTCACGGTGCGACTCTGAGGGAGGGAAATCGGGAAAGGCCCACTGCGCCTCCCGTCACCACGTGACTGAGCCCTCGTTTTAAGGGGTGCACAGAGAGACCCAGAGAGGCAAAGAGACTCATAGAAGGTGAGGGGGGCTGTCTTGGGGCCTAGGATCCCTGAGGTGGTCCCCTGTCCTTTCCACCTCTCTCCACCTCACCCTTCCCCTCTCGTCACCTCCTCGGAGACTCGTTCTTCCGCCCTCTGCTCCACTGACAGCAGCATGTTTCCCACCAGCTCGTTAATGATTTTCTGACCTTAGGTGACAGGCCGGCCCTGAAGCCACCTGACTGGACACTGTGACACACACTCAGCCAGCTCCAATCTCCCCCAGTGAAGCCCCAATCCTAGAGTGACAGCTCTTCCCCAGGGACCGCCTGGCGAGTCAGCAGGGCAATGTCGGCCCTCTGTGTAGGAGCCCAAGCCTGGACTTCAGGTTCCCCACCTCCTGCCTTTCCCAAGGGCACAAAGCCCCTCCCCTCAGCAAACCCTGCGCTCCCCTCCCAACGCCTCTGCGCCTTTAAGGTGCAGCCTGGGAAACAGCCTCACAAACAGGGACTTGCTCGGCCCTAAGAAACCACGGCCCAAGAATCAAGAGCACGGTCTGGGGTCCAGGTTCAAGTTAGTGGCCGGAGCGCACGAATCTTATCTCCCTGGAGGGTCACCTTTACGAAGGACTTGTACGCATGCAAATAAGCAAAGCAAGACGCTGTGGGGGAGGGTCTGAGGGCATGTGCCGGGGTGGGGGTAGGGAGGCTGGGGGAAGATCAATGGGGGGAAAAGGAGACATACATATACTATTTGTAATACTTTAAACAATAAAATAATTAAATTAAATTAAATTAAATTAAAACCTGCCCCTGCCGAGCAGGAGCCTCTGCCTGGGACACGTGGGGCCCTGGAGGCTCCGCCCGGGGGCCCAGGCTGGACTCGGAGCTCACAGGACAGAGCGCCCAAGCATTTTACTTAATAAAATAAAAACAATAGAACCGACAGCTTTAGCTCATCTGACTGATGGAAGGGACAAGCTGCTGAATTAGGCGACTAAAACGTCTGATGCCAAATCACCATGTGTTTTCTTTTTGGTATTTCTTATTTTCCACTTGTTTGTAAGCCACAAGATTTAACTATAACCATTAGGAGAACAGACAGCAGTGGGCATTTCCGATAATGAAAGATTCTACTAACAGCAAACTTAAGGTAACAGATCTTTATTAAGCCTCCTTTGGAATTCAGAGATAAAAACAGTAGCCTGCCATCCTTTAGGGTTAAAATTTAGCCTGCCATCGCGTGGCCTGGGTCAGAACACCACTTAGGCAGTGGCTGGCGCCACCTTGAATGGCTGGACGTCAGAAGACCAAAGGTTTAGTCTGGTTCCGTGTAACTTAGGCAAGTTATTCCACTTCTATGTGACTCAGTTTCCTCAACAACAAGAAAGACAGGCATTGACCTTCCCCGGGGAACAGTGTGTAATGTGAGAACAACGTGCTCCAAGAAAGATTGCAGAACATCAGAGTGACATGGCCCAGTGTTGTTGAGACAGGTAAAGAGGAGACAGCAGAAAGAGAACAAAAGCCAGTTGTAAAAGAGAAACGGTGAGCTTTCCAATGACAACCTCATATCCTTAAAAAAAAAAAAAAAAAAAAAATCAGGTGCTATCAGGCCTTTAGCAAGGTTGACATGGCAATGAATTCCCGGGAATTCTAGAAGTCTTTTCTACATCTGGTGCTGGGACAAATGGACAGCCACATGCAAAAGAACAAAGTTAGACTCCTACCCCACACCGTCCGTAGGCATTCCTCGGAGGTACTGCAATAATGCTGGCATCACAATAAAGCAAGTCCTAAGAGATTTGCTGGTGGAGGGTCTTGCCTTCAATTTGTAAAAAATGTAACATCTGTGAAGTGCACTAAAACTAGGTATACCTGCACAAAAACTAGCTCAAAATGAATCAAAGATCATGTGAAAGCTAAACTATAAGACTTCTTAGAAGAAAATATAAACATAAATCTTCTTGACCTTGGACTAGGCAATGGTTTCTTAAATTTGACAATAAAATAACACAAACAATAAAATAACAAATGGGCAGGCCCTGGCCGGGTAGTTCAGCTGTTAGAGCGTTGTCCTGATATGCCAAGGCTGCAGGTTCAGACCCCGATCAGGGCACATACAAGAAACAACCAATAAACGCATAAATAAGTGGAACAACAAATCAATGTTTCTCTCTCTCTCTCAAATCAATTTTTTTTAAAAGAAAAAATGGGTAGTATTGCATTTCATCAAACTGAAAGAACAAGAAAGTGAAGACAACCCACAGGATGGGAGAGAATTTTTCCAAATGATATATCTGATAAAGGACCTGTACCTAGAATATGGAAAGAACTCATATAACTCAATAACAAAAAGACAAACAAGTCAATTAAAAATGAGCTAAGGATAAACAATTCTCCAAAGAAGATATACAAATAGCCAATAAGTACATGAAAAAAAAAACAAAAACAAAAAAAAAAAAAACGCTCAACATCATTAGCCATCAGGGAAGTGAAATCAAAACCACAATGAGATCAGTTCACACCCACTAGGATGCTCTCATCAAAAAGTCAGACGACAGCAAGTGTGGAGAAAGCAGAACCCTCGCCCGCTGCCGATGGGAAAGCGCTGAGCTGCTCTGGAGAGCAGTCCAGCAGTTACTCAGAAAGCTAAACATAGTGACTCATCACCCAGCAACTCAACTCCGATGTGTACTCCCAAGAAAAATAAAGACGTGTATGTACATAAAAGTTGTAATAGAAGAATGTTTATAGCAGCATTTTTCATAATAGCCCAAAAGTAGAAACAACTCAAACGTCCATCAAGTGATAAATGGACAAACAAAAGGTAGTCTATCCATTGAATGAACTATGACTCAGCTATAAAAAGGACTGACGTACTGATACACGTTCAATAGGGATGACCCTAGAGAGCATTATGCTAAGTTGAAGACGCTAGTCACAAAAGACCACATATTGTCTGATTCCATCCATGTATAAAACGCCCCAAACAGGGAAGCTATGTCAAAAGTAGACTCGGGGTTGCCCAGGACCAGGGAGGCAGGAGAAAAGTGGGAAAGTGATTGCTAAAGGGTACAGGGTGGGGGATGAAAATGTTCTACAATTGATGGTCATTCTGTGAACTTACCAAAAACCATTTAGTTGTACACTCGAAGTGGGTAAACTGGATGGTAAGTGAACTATATCTCAGTAAAGCTGTTATTGGCTCCTTCTTCCCCCCAAAAAAGGAATAGGAACCAGGAATCTGTCTTTACGCTGTGGGAGTACCACCCTGATATCCCAACATAATCATTATGACATCCCACTCACTCTACGAAGCGCCCTGGTTTGTCTGATAAACGAATGTCATCACCCTGTCACTGTGATATCAAACGGATGTTATCTGGGCTTCAGTTTCCCCATCTGTAACCAGGCTCCCCGAGTTCTGACCCGCTCGGACCCTAACACTACATCCCAAAAGCTCTACTTCAGAAGCGGCAAATCCCTGCTCAGTTGGAACAGGCTCACCATGCTTTGGCAGATGAACCTAAATGAGCAGAGAGTGGAAGCCTTGGGCCAGTATTAATTCCTGTTTCCCAGGAAACAGAGGCAAGACAAAGAGGAATTCCTTATGTACCAGGTACTGATATTGAATTCCCTCCTATACCACTAAGAAAGGTGATCCAAGCACAGAAACTCGGGGGAAACGCTCCAACCACATCCCCTGCAAATGAAAACAGATCCACACTTCCTGGCGGGCCTCACGGACAACATCGGATCCTTAGGGAACTTGGCAGGCTTGGCAGCAGGTAGCTGAGTCTTCTCTAAATGGGATTTGGTGAGGCACCAAGAGGGCTAGGCATCGTGACAGTCAAGGTCATTGGATCACACAATGGGATGACTTCCTAGTCCTCCCTCCTTACCCATGACTACAGGAATAAAACTACACCAAAGGAACTCAAGAGGAGTTATTTTGTTCTCATCCCTTTTATGAGTATAAAAGGGATGAGAGTGAGCCTAAAACAGCCTTTCTGCCCACTCCCCACCTCCCAGGCCTAGGTCTGCGTGGCAGGTCCCACACGCGTACGTGGTGTCCACCACAGCTACGCAGAGGAGAGCCCACCGCTGGGCTTTGAAGTAGCAGATCCTCAGAAACAAGGTGAAGTGAAAGAAGGAGGCATGGAATAAACCCCACTCCCATCAACCCACCCGGGAACAGGACAGACAGCTGCTCACCAGGGTCATCGAGAACGGAAATCAGCACGAAGACAGATGATGGTGGCAAACCGCCCCCATCAAGGCAGTCCTGGCCCCGGAGCCAGTTACCAGAGAGGAAGGCGAAGGTTGGGCAGAGCTTTGTCTGGAGGCAGGGGGAGGTCGAAGGAACAAACACACTGGCACCAAGACAGCCCAGGAACTGGCCTCCAACTAGGAGAGCGAGGCATTCCGACCAGATGCCCCCTCACCGCTGTCGGCCTCTTTAGAGAGGCGGGTGTGGGGAGGACCAAGGAACCACTCAGAAGCTGGCGGCCAGGAGCAGGGAGAGAGGAGCCGGGGGATCTGCTTGCAGAGGTCTGCTGGCTGCCGGTGTGCGGCTTCCATAGACCGGCAAGGTCCCTTCTAGCCACAGCTGGTCAGGGAGCAGCAGCTTCCGATGGTGCAATTCCTACATCCAAGGGGGTCCACGGGGCTGGGCGGTGGAGGCAGCTGCCGTTGTGCTGCTCAGAGGCCACACTTCAGGATGATGTGGTAGCCATCACTGCTTTCCGCTGCAAGAGGGAAACACCGGGCATTCTTCAGGGAGAAAGGCATGGCGCCGGGGCATGGGGGAGGCACAGAATAGGGCACCATGGAAGCCCTATTGAATGTTGGCGAGACCAAAGCAGATATGCCCACACATGCCTTCCCTTCTGTCTGCATCGGGCCTTCCTACCTCAGCTCTGGGCCCAAGGACCAAAACACCCACATCCCAGGATGCTCTGCTCACACAGCTCCTCAGGTGAATGGCCCAGGCCCGTCAGTGCAGCATCATTCTGACCGACCCCACACTCTCACTGCCTTCCTTCTCCTGGCCCATGAGTTCCATGCTCCTTCCTCAGGAGGGCCCTTCATACCCCCCACACACACCCGCCCGCCCAGGGCCCCAACCCACCAGGCCCAGCTGCTGTACCCCATGCTCACTTTTCCTAGAGCCTGTGGTTCACAAAAACTCAAACGCATCTTCTGTGCACCTGACACTGAGTCTGTGGAGAAGACACCGCCTGGCCAGGACTTCCCTTTCAGAAGTGACTCTGGGCCAGCCTCACTGACCCGCACCCACCAGGCCAGGCTTCACGGGGAGTCCGTGCTTCTCCTCCCCCAGGACGTTCCAGGAACATCCCCTGGAGGGGAGTGTGTGCAGGCACCCCCTCTCTCAGCATGTTACCCTGGGGGTGCAGCCATCATACTTCAACTCAGCAAAACAGCTGGCAGGGGCTTTACCTTTTAAGGTGCTGAGGACAAAACAGGATTCATCCTGGAAATTCTGCACCATCTGAAAGGCAAGAGCGAGACCATGTCCCTTCAACCATGGGCTCACGTAAGAAAGCCCCAGGGGTAGGAGCCCAGAGCCTGGACTACGTTTCTGTTCGCTTTTGTTTTGCTTTTCCCAGTTACTGGGTCTTCCAGTCCCCATCACAGATACAATACATGAGCCTGTACATATATAGTAACAAAAGATAAAAATAAAAAATTAAAAAAATAGCATGCTTTAAAATCCTGGGTAATTAGCAGGTTCTGATTGTGAGTTCAAGTTACAGGAGTGGGAAACAAGCAGTAGGTTTACAGTTTTGAGTACGTGAAACACATCTATAATAATAAAGAGTAATATGCTAATGAGACCAAACATCTTGTAGACAATCTTTCCCGATGAAGCAGGGCCAGAAGGGGGAAGGAAGGCCTACTCTTGCACTAATTTTCATGCATCGGCCCTCTAGTCCTATATAATAAAAGCCTAATATGCTAAGAGTCCAGTCATCTGGCCATCCAGTCAAAGCGGAATATGCTAATGACATGCTAAGGATGCTCAACTGCTCGCTATGACATGCACTGACACCGGTACTCTGACCGGTAGGTTAGCTTGATGTTGAGGTCCGGCTGATCGGGACTGAGTAAGGCAGGCTGGACACGTCCTGGAGCCTGCCCCCCACCCTGCATACCTCCCCGGCCCCAATCATGCACCAGCTTCTAATAGTTAATAAAGCTACTGTAATAATCATAACCTGCATGTCTTTTTCCATAATGTGAATGAAAAAGGAGCCACCTGCTAGCCTGACAGGCTGAGGGAGGCCTGCTGGCGGCCTCACACACTCAGACCTGAAGTCACCGCAGAGCATGGTCTGAAATGAACACTCCCAACGGCAGGAGGTCCTGGCGGGTGGCAAGCCCTCGGCGGGCATTTCTCCCCGACAAAGGTCAGTCTCACCTTCACTGAGCCGTCTGCTGTCTGGTTTTGCATCTGGGATAACATACCTGATAACGTGCCTTTGGAATGTCAGAGTGATTTCCTTTTCTCCGGGACCTCAGAGCACAGCCTCCCCAGAGCAGACCATAGATCCCCTCACGGTCATTGTTATTGTGTTAGGTTTGGCTGTTAACTACCCTATACCCACCAATGTAAAAGAAGTGTCTATTCTTTTCACTTTTCACCCAATCCCAGAGATTTCTCTGCTTTGCCTTCTCCTGCCTCCCTAATCAATCACCAATGAACTTCATGTGAACCCCTTACACCTTCTCCTTTGACTGTCATGTTTAAAATGAGGTGCAGAGGAGGACCATGATGGCAGTGTAGGTAAAGGCCAGCACTCGCCACCTCCCACAACCACATCAAAATCACAATTAAAATACAGAAAGCCGCCGAAACTGGTTTGGCTCAGGGGTAGAGTGTCGGTCTGCGGACTGAAGGGTCCCAGGTTCGATTCCTGTCAGGGGCATGTACTTTGGTTGTGGGCACATCCCCGGTGGGGGTTGTGCAAGAGGCAGCTGGTCAATGTTTCTCTCTCGTTGACGTTTCTAGCTCTCTATCTCTCTCCCTTCCTCTCTGTAAAAAATCAATAAAATATATATATTTTTAAAAATACAGAAAGCCATCATTCAGAACAGCCTGAAAGCTAGCTGACCAGCAGTCCTACAACTAGAGAAGTAAAGAGGAAAGTACATTGAGACTGAGAGGAGGGGTGGAGGCACAGAGGCACAGAAAGGTCTGGTTCAACACCCACATGTAACGTTGTTTTTTTTTTTAATTGGAAGAGATAACATAGCTGTGGAGGCCTCCTGTGAGGAGCAAGGGGTTCCCGCCACACACCAGCCCTCCGCCCAGAGTTCCAGTGCTGGGAAGAGCAGTTCCCATAACTTCAGGCTGTAAAAATCAGCAGAGATTGTGGCTAAGTGACATGAAGGTGGTTGTAGTGCCAAGGAGTTCCTCTTAAAGGGCCAGCATATGGGCTTCCCAAAAATCCATCCCTCTGGGCTCCAACACTAGAGTGGCGGCTTGAAAGGAATGTGAGACATTAGGAAAGGAACTGGATTGTCTAGCATCGGGGCAAGAACCTGGGGGTGACTTTCTCCCAGATAGGGACACTCACGGGGGTACCTGTGCTGGGACCTCCCCTATCCCAGAGCTGACTGACAGCCATCAGCTTGGCTCACACTGTTTGCTCCATCCTGATGATTCCCTAAGACCCATCCAATTTGCAGCCCCACTGAAGCTGTTTACATAGTCTTTTCCACATGAATGGCCTGTCCAGGTTCAGGTTTCAGACTTTCCTAAAATCTCTTAAACAAGAAGCAGCTGACATCAATAAGAGAACATGCTTCACAGATAGGTGCACTTGGTCACTTTGAAGCCCAACACAAGTAGCAACCATCTGCAGATCTCTCTGCAGCTCCTGTCCCAGTGGCTGGAAGGCCCCAGAGCCAGTGCACCAAGTGGACAGCTTCAGACCATACCAGATCACAACTCTACACATCCACAAGTGACACACTCAAGGAGAAGACTCAATGTGAACCAAAGCCCCAGTGAAGCAAGTCTCGCTCATAGGGGTGTCTCTTGCACAGCAGCTCTCCCACTGTAGCTGCCACTGGTTCTTACAGCCAATTGGCTGGGGGGAAAAGGAGGGTCAAGTACTCTCAGTGACACCAACAGCAATCAAAGATCAACTACAACAAGACAGTGTACACAGCCCACACAAGGGCACACCTAGAGTGCCCACCTGAGATGACTGAGGAGGTTGAGTCTACAGAACACCTACTTCACAAGGTCACTCTACCAATTCCAGGAGACATAGCAGCTCTTCCCAATACATAGAAGCAAACACAGAGAAGCAGCCAAAATGGGGAACAAAGAAACATGTCACAAATGAAAGAAATGGAAGTGAGCAAACCATTGGATACAGAGTTCACAACAATGATTATAAGGTTGTTCAAGGATCTTAATGAGAGTATCGAGGGACTTACTGAGAATTTCAAAGACATGAAAAAGGACCAGGAAGAAATTCAGCATAGACTAATTGAAATAAAGAATAATTTCCAGGGATGCAGTAGTAGAGAATTCTGAAAATCAAATCAACGATATGGAATATGAGGAAGGAGAAAACACCCAATTGTAAAAGCAAAAAGAATAAAGAATCAAAAAATATGAAACTAGTATAAGGAGCTTCTGGGACAATGTCAAGCATAACACCATTAGCATAATGGGAGTGCCAGAAGAAGAGATAAAGCAAGATACTGAAAACGTATTTGAAGAAATAATGACAGAAAACTTCCCCTACCTGGTAAAGGAAATAGACTTACAAGTTCAGGAAGCACAGTGAGTACCAAACAAGAGGAACCCAAAGAGGCCAACACCAAGACACATCATAATTAAAATGCCAAGGTTAAAAATAGAGAATCTTAAAAGCAGCAAGAGAAAAGCAATTAGTTACCTACAAGGGAGTGCCCATACAACTGTCAGCTGATTTCTCAACAGAAACTATGCAGGCCAGAAGGGAGTGGCAAGAAATATTCAAAGTGATGAACAGCAAGGACCTACAACCAAGATTACTCTACCCAGAAAAGCTATCATTCAGAATTGAAGGTCAGATAAAGAGTTTCACAGACAAGAAAAAGCTAACGATGTTCATCAACACCAAATCAGTATTACATGAAATGTTAATGGGTATTCTTTAGAAGAGGAAGACAGAAAAAAGAAGAAAGAGAAAAGAAGAAAGAAGAAGGAAGAAGGAGAAGAGATAAAAAATATGAACAATAAAGTGGCAATAAATACATATCAACAACTGAATCTAAATCAAAATAAATAAACAAGAAACTTAATGAACAAAATAAACTCGTGAATAAAATAGAGCCAGAGGCATGAAAACATGGAAGAGACTGACAAATTTCAGAAGGAAGGGGACAAAGGGATGTGAAGAGAGTAACCAAAAATGTTCAATGCATATATGCATTACCTATGGCACAGACAATAGGGTGGTGAAGGCCTGGGGCAGGGTAAAAACTGGGTGGAGGGAGGCACTGAGGGGAAAAATATATACTCTCAACAATAAAGACTTCAAAACAAAAACAGGAAGCACACAAGATGTCCTGATAAGTACATGTATAAACAAACTGTGGTATAGCCACAGTTATAGCCTATATAACAAAAGGCTAATATGCAAATCGACCCAACAGTGGAATAACCAGTTACTATGATGCACACTGACCACCAAGGGGGCAGATGCTCAAAGCAGGCGCTGCCCCCTGGTGGTCAGTGTGTGCCCACAGGGGGAGTGGCACTCAGCCAGAAGAGTGCAGTGTGGGTGGCAGGAGCCTCTCACACCCCGAGGGCTTCCGAACTGCGAGAGGGCACAGGCCAGGATGAGGGACCCCCGTGAGGTCACAGATTTCATGCACCAGGCCTCCGATTCTACAATAAGAAGAAATAAACTATCAAGCCATGAAAAGACACAAAGGAACCTTAAATGCCCACTGTTAAGTGTCAGAAGCCAGTCTGAAAAGGCTGCTTATTATATGATGCTAAACAACCATATGACGTTCTGAAAAAGGCAAAACTATCTAGACAGTAAAATTATCAATAATTGACAGAGTTTCAAGGGATGAGGAGAGGGGAAGAGGGATAAAGAGGTAGAACACAGGGCACTTTTGGGAGCAATGAAGTGATTATACATGAGGATAATGGTGGACACATGACATCATGCATTTGTCAAAATCTACAGAACTGTACAGCAGCAAGAGTGAAATCTAATGTAAACTAGGGACTTCAGTTAACGATTATACCAATATTGCCTCATCAATTATAACAAATGTGCCACACTAATGACAGAAGTTGTGCATGTGTTGGGGGGAAGTGGAAATGGGAACTCTCTGTACTTTCTGCATAATTTTTCGATAAACCTAAAACTGCTCTAAAAAAATAAAGTGTATTTTTTTAAAAGATAGGGGGGCAGGGAGGGAGACAACACCATAAAAAATATAATAAAATCATGTGCAAAACTGCCCTTT